TCAAAGTCAACCGAGATAAATGTTTGGGGATTTCAGAAAAAAACCCAACATAAACCCACAAACATTAAAGAGATCAGAATTTTCGTTTCACTTTCACCACACAATAGACTTTTTCAATTTTAATTATATTTGTTTTGGGTAGTAAATTACAAGCTGAAGAACAGAAGGAAATAGAAACTGAATTTGCAGTGGCTATCGTGGTTTTTTTTTTCTTTCTTTCTTTCAGGAAAAGTAAATTGCTATTCCAGTAAATTTTCTAGGAGTGATTGTCTCAAACTAAAGTTCCTTTTATCTTTTTCTTTAGGCTTCTTAAGGAATTTTAAAAATCTCTGGATAGTATTGATAATTGGAGGTGAAGTCTCTAAATAGTTAGACTTAGAACCCCCAGAAAATCCTTTGTTCAAAGCAGTACATGAAGTGTGCAGTGTACACTGTACGATTTTTAGTCCTTTTAACTGAAATCTGTTACCATGGCTTCAGTCTTTTACGTGTTTCAGTTCATATGAACAGAGGGTGTGAAGTCCCATTGATTTTAATGAAAGTACTCATGAATGAAGCTCAGTAGTAACGTCATAGATGCTTGCAGATGTGTTTTTGTTTTTGTACTGTGGAACAATGGCTGTATTTGTACACCAGAAGAATGTCTGCAATGTTTTTACAAGGAAACCAGATTTGCATATGTCTTTAACATGCTCTGAAATATTTGAAGGAAAGCTTTTCCCTTTCTTGTGACCTGAGAGTGCTAGCATAGGGAAATAACTGTTTAGAAAATGGAAATTGTAAATTTCTTTTAAACTCACTAAAATCCAGGCTTCTTTGCTGCTGGTTTTTTTTTTTTTTGTCCCCTCCCCCTGCCCCCTCCTGCCCCCCATGTTGTTTTAAAATACACTAGTATCAGGAGATGTAGTTGAGGGAGGGAAAAGGAACAAAAGCACTGACAGTGCTCCTCAGTATGTCATGCATTTAAATGCTTAAAATTGTCACTCCATCATATCTCTGAGGAAAGCACTGTGAATTATAAGCCGTGATCCTCCATGCATTGCAGTTGCTTTTGCTGGGCCTTCAAGCAGCCCATCAGGTTGTCTCGTACAGTGATCTGGACTTCTGTGTCTCCTTTGAACTCCCAAGATTTTGCTGCATCTATGTCAATCTGTGAGCTTACCGTAGCATTTTTTAGGGAGCGTCTAAGGCCTAATTTGAAACTTCAGTATGTTTAAATTAGTTAGCAGTTTATGGTCCTGTGAATGATAGCAAACATTTTGCTGTAAGGTTGTGCATTGTCTTGCCACAGAGGTCGGTGGCAAAAGCATCCTAAGCAAAGGTCATCAGTAGTATGTGGGTTCACTGACTTATAAATAGTCTTATTTTTAGATACACATTTATCTAACGTTTCAGTCTGAAAGGCATGCAACAATTCTGATGAAACAACTAACTGGTTAAACCACAGAAGATGTAAGTAAAGGATAAGAGCAAGTGGAGTAGTTACTAGGTCCTAGGCCTCTCAGCTTTTTCAAACACTGTAATTTTACAATTTAGCCACAGCTAGGCAATAAGTTTTACAGCTGTAAGATATACCGAGTATTTTTTGGGAGGATGGCACAATGTAACTCTTAAGGAGACAGCTTATGAGAGTATAATTTGCAGCCACTTGCCAACAGCAACCAAACCCCCCCCCCCCAAAACACCAAAACAAACAAAAAAACCCTAAACCCAAACCAAACCAAAGAAATAAATTAGCTTTCCAGCAGTTCTTAGGCTAAAAATATGAACACATTTTTTCAGAGGAGCAATTAAACACCAGATGGATGGTCAATAAAAGTCGTGGCTGAATGTTTCTTCAGTTACAAGGGATACCAGGCCTAGTTTTCAGAAGACTAATGCTGGACAATGTTATTGGTTTATGATCAAATATTTAAAATTAGGTTGCTAATTGCACTGTTAATTCAAATTTTAACAGTTCACTATTACTGGAACAGCTTTGAACTGTCAATTATAATGTAAGATAAAACAGGCCAAGGTATGTTTATTGATATTAGCATTTGCATTTATGTAGACAGATGGGTAAATATTGCTTAAGTTTGTACCTTAATGTAAGAAAGCTTTTTTATTATGGCTTATGTGCTGTAGCATTTAGTTGTGTTGCAACATTAACATACCTTATCTTGCTCATTTAAAGTTTTCTAAAATTTCTTCCATTGAAGATGATGGTACCTTTATGAGTCTGATATCATCAATCAAATTACTGTACAATTCCCTTGCATCTGCATTCTAGACAGTGCCCCTCGATACACCATCAAAATATTTTTCCTTTAAAACATAAGTTGAAAAAATCAAAGAAAATTGAAATAGTTTTCTAGCACTAGCTTCAGAAGCCTTTCCTTTAATGGATTTTTAATTACAGAAGAAAAAGTTCTTACTTACAAGACTGCACAGAATTCCAACTAAATATCTTTGGTACTTTCTAAGGACTGATTCAGTATGAATCTTCCAATTCCTCATTGACAATTTTCTCTTTAGAAGAAGGTGGGATTGATTTTATTTCCCCAGGAGAAATTGCAGACAGGTAAATAGCAGCATGTCAGTCGTGCTTATTTTAATGCCGTTGTGGGCAACAGCAAACACTTCCACTTCTGTCTACGGAGTAGTGAAAAATACAAGTTCTGAATGAGTTAGGTATTTTTGCACTTTTTATGTTTATTAATTAAAACAAAAATTAGTAAGATAGAAGTCTGACCTTTTGTACTCTTATAAAATTCTGTACTGAAATAAGTTGGTTCTGCTTCAAGTCTGACTCTCAAGTTGCAGCATAGAAAGCCATATTTGCAAATTGCTGCTTTAATGTAATGTTGTGGTATAATCAAAATTATAATTAGATGTATTATTTTTAAATTAAATTAACTGGTGCAGAATGTTAAACAGATTGTTATATGTAGCAGTAAGTAGATGTAGCCAGATTCTTAGCTCCAGCATATCATTATAATATTAGGGGCGTCCTGCATATAATTATGGACAAAATGTAGTCATTTATGATCATAAAATATCAATGTATTTTTTGGAAATGTCTGTTTAATAAATAAAAAAAAATACAATGTGGCTGTATTTTTTTAGTATTTACAGAATACATCATACGAGTGCTTTGTGCTCATGTTTCTATTTGTTCTTCCCCATATGCTGAGTTTTTAAAAATAATCATGTTTCTAGATTCAGCACCCTTACAAGCAGTGCAGCAGTAGGTATCCAGGATACAGAGAATGAAAAAGAAACTAAGAAAGTTTTTTGTTTGTGTCAGCAGCCATCTGTTAAAACAAAAAGCCTCCACTTGGTAGAATTTTCTTCCAACAAAAATTAGCTGTGTTGTGTTATACAATAAAGAAGGCACACTTGGTAAATGTAATTGCAAGTCAACATTTCAATACAATTTAGTAGAAGAGTTAATACAGTAAAGCAGTAATTGATAGATAATTGACATGTATGTGACCAAAATAGTGTGTTTATACAAAGGAGATCGAATATCAAAACAGATGAAGCTTTGAGCTACATCTTAAACTGCAGGTACTTCACAAATATTTCCGCAAAAATTTAGTCAATCATTGATTTTGACATTTGATGTTAGTTCTCTGAAGAATAGTTTTTAATAGGTGCTCCAATTAAAACAGGTAAAAATAAAAAATGTTTTAAAGATTGCTTATTCATCTCTCTGTAAGAATATTCAGACTCAAAATAGCTTTTATAGAAAGAAGCAGCAGTAGGTGGGTGATTTAATTTTTGAGGAGCTTAAAACAGTTTAATGGGAATTAGAGTGAAATGATCTTAGAAAGCAAATTACCTTGTGTTTGCCAGTTGTGGCATTCTGGGCAACTTCCTTTGGAACATCTGGTGCAAGGGGCTTTCAGAGACCAGACAGTAGAATGTGTATCTCATAAAAAATATAAATGCCTTTCAAGAATACAAGAAGAAAATTGTGTTACTAATCTGATGATGCTGGAATTTGGCTCAGATCCAGCTTTGCGTGCACTCAGTTACATGGATATCCATGACTTTCTTGTATAAAATACCATATTGCCCCTCGTTATATTACTGTTTGTTGTTTTGAGGTTTTTTTTAACTGCAAAATAGTTACGATTCCAACGATAAAAAGCTTATGACAGGCTGGTGTGCAATATTCTGATTATTACTGCTTTGTCTTTCTTACTGAAAAACAAATGAATGGCAAAACAAGTGCTGAAGGATTTATGTTTCTGATCCTTCTGTCATAACATAATGCAATGCCATGTTTGCAAAAGTGGGAATATGAAAAAGTATTGGTATCAAGAGTTCATAAAGAGGAATTTATTTTGAGGTTTCGTTCTTCCATTCAAGTACATGCAAAAACTTTACTTAGTTTTTGCAGTAGAGGTTTATAATAGTGGATCCAAAGGCCAATCTGAAGACAAGGTAATTTAGTGGATTGTCAAGTATGTCCTGGTGAGGAGAGGTCTGTAGATACCTCAAACCCAGGATAACAAGACGTTTACTACTTGGTCATTCTGTAAGCAGATGGAGGAAAGAGCTATGAGTGTCCTGCCTCCCTCCCCTCCCTCTGTCCTTGTCTTCCTCCCCATCTGATCACATATAGTGTGGCTCTGCTTCTGCTGACCATCCCTCCATCTAACCACATTAAAGAATGGTGAGGGAGTCCTGCTTTAGAAATTCCTCTTGAAAATCTTTCCATGGGCAGATCCATAAAAAAATGCTTTTGACTATAGCTACTGTGTCTTACTTGCAAAATAAGTTACTTCATCTAGGAAAGGGAAGAGTTTGTTAAGTGGAAAAATAATTTATAAGAAAAACGAGTAATACAAGTAGTTTATCTACTGTGTCATGTGCTGTGATTTTTCTGTGTTTCTTTGTACCAAAAATGGAGCTGTCAACATAATGTTGCCTGTAGTGTACTGGGTGTAGATTGCAAGGTCTTCTACAGCTTCCTAAATTTAATTTCTCCTTGTTACTTTAAAAGGTACATACCAGGGGCAATGGACAGGAGGGATGCGACATGGATACGGTGTACGTCAGAGTGTACCCTATGGCATGGCAACTGTGATCCGTTCACCCCTCCGAACGTCTCTCGCTTCACTTCGAAGTGAGCAGAGCAATGGTACTATTCTGCATGACGTCACTTCAGACAGTCCAGCTGGAACAAGAGGAGGTTTTGTGCTCAATTTTCACAGTGATGCGGAAGCGATGGGCATTAAGAAAAAAGGAGGCTTGTTCAGAAGAGGTTCCCTTCTTGGTAGTATAAAACTTAGAAAATCTGAATCTAGGTCATCGATATCTAGCAAACGGAGCTCTGTTAGGAGTGATGCTACTATGAGCAGAATTAGTTCTAGTGATGCCAACTCTACAATTAGTTTTGGAGATGGTGACTGTGATTATTGCCCTGTGGAAGACCATGTTGATGCTACCACTACAGAAGCCTATATGGGTGAATGGAAGAACGACAAGCGCTGTGGTTTTGGTATTAGTGAGCGTTCAAATGGTATGAAATATGAAGGAGAATGGCTAAACAACAGGAGGCATGGGTATGGATGTACCATGTTTCCAGATGGCACCAAAGAAGAAGGAAAATATAAAAATAATGTTTTGGTCCGTGGAATAAGAAAGCAACTTATACCAATACGAAACACAAAAACAAGAGAAAAGGTGGATAGAGCAATAGAGGGTGCACAGCGAGCAGCTGCCATGGCAAGAACCAAAGTGGAAATTGCAACTTCAAGGTATGTTACTGCAAAATACATTTGTTCATCACTGAATTTTCAGAAACAAAAATGCGTTACAATGTGTGAGTTCTTATTGCTTGAGTGCAACTTACAAGGTGCAGGGATTGACTTTAGTGAGTGCTTCACTTTTCCATTTCCCATGTGTAATTCTATTGACAGAAGTGGCATTACTACATATGAAACGTAGAACTTTAATTCGTTTGAGTGAAGATGTTAATGTATGTTTCATTCTCATATATTTCCGCTTTCACTTGAGCTGCTGCATTATGTCATTATAACTGAAAAATAAAACTAGTGAGGAAGTATAGAGAATTATTTGGGTCATGTGAGGTGAAGATTGAATATCTTCTCATAAGTGTGCTCCAGTTATCCTTATTGTGTTGATTTTTTTGGTAGCATGTGAGATTGGCTGAATTTACCCATTTGACATTGAGCATCTTAAGATGCATCTGTTTGTCTGAGACTGGTATGAACAATGTAACAATAATGGTTGAGGCACTTGTGCTTACAGACTGTTGATTCAGTTGCCAGGGAAGTGTCTGCCAAAATAATTCTATATGAGGACTCTTTTGTTTTGGATCATTCTCCTCCTACAGTCTGAATTTGTCTGGATCTTATGGCCATCACTTCAAATAGTGACTGTCATCTTGTCCCACCCCCCTTGCCAAGTGCTGGAGGTTGAAATGTATGGTATGAGTAGCAGTGGGAAAAATGTCATTTTCACTTTGAACTCTTAACCAACAGCCAAGCCAAGTCATCTGAAGTGGAATTGTTACACATTAAATCAGTATAGACAATTTTAATAGGTTTTACTGTTAAGTCTTAGAGCTCTTTAAAAAGCTATTTAATTTTTAATGCCTTCCAGTAAGTTTCTGTGGCAGTGTCTCTGTTGTTGGTTTTAGTTTGTTTCTTCAGGCAGGCTCTTCTTGAAATATACTACGGACCAAAAAAGGAACGCAGAAACGTGAATGAAAGAAAATCTTCATGCTATTTTAGACACATTACATTTAGAGCTGAACAACAGACCTCCTGATTTAGTGGGGTCAGTACTGTGTGCTCAGTGACGATCCTTTCTCTGACAGTCCTACAACATACAGAAAAGACCAAAACCTGCTTAAGTGGGAAAACTTGAATACATGGGTGGCTTATAGTGAAAGGTAGTTGAGACACAAAGAAGAATTAAGCATACTGTTAAAGAACCTTTCTGAGCGTTGGTCACCTAATTAACTAGAGGGTAGCATATACTCAATTACTTCTATAAATATATGTAAAGCATTAAGTGACAGCCTACCATATTAGCAAAGCAGATCAATAATAGTGAACTTTAAGAAATTACAGGATCCCAGTTGGGATGTCAGTATATAATAAGTTCTTAGTTCTGAAAAAACTGAGGCTATGGGAAGTGTGGATAGAGGGAGTCACTGCTTTCAGTCCACATAAAGCTATTAAAAAGCTGAATTCTGAGACCATTAGGTTACCAGGCACAATGTATGCACTTCCTCTTTAAGAAATTTTGTTTGCTGTTCCTTCTCTTCAACTTTAGATGAAGGGCAGGGTTCAAATTGCTTCTTTTGGAACAGTCCATGAAAACAACGTTTATTTATGTTATTCAAAGTGCAACAGCAGAAGGCATCAGTTGGAGTGTAGCTATTCCTTTGTTTTTTCAGCTGAGAATCTCTCTGAAACAGTCCTACAACTATAATTGCAGATTCAGGTTTCTTCTCTTTCAGTAGCCTTTGCTCTAACTGTACCTGCACTGAGTCAAAGGCCAAGACATCTAGTCAGGCAGCATCAGGCATAGTGATTACATTAACTTAGGAGTGAGTGTTTGGCTTACTTATCCACGAAGCAACTCTTCCCATCTCTCCAGTTTCCAGAACTGCCTTTAGTGTCAACCAGTGGGGGCAAGGCCATGGTGTTATGTGAGCTAAGGGACTGTCAGAGTCAGTAGTGCTGGACTGTCTTAAGAGCCAAATAATCTGGAAGAGATTCTAGAAGAGCATTGAGGAATAAACTTCCACTTTGAACAGTTTTTAAATTCTAGGCTGACAGGATTGATACAAAAGAACTTGCTTCTGTCCCACTAAAACCTGAGGACCAGTGACTGCTTTGTGACTGTTTTTCTACTAAACTGATACATTAATAGTATATTACTCTGCAAACAGTGGCATTCTACAGGGTGAACAGAGTGGCTAAAGTATGTCAATAATGCAAGAAAGGAACTGCAAGAAACTCTGAATTAATTATTCTTTTGTCATTGCATGTGATTTCTTAAAGTTGGCCTTTAAAACCTTTTTTTCCTCTTTTAGCAGCAGTAATACATCACTCTTGAAATTCACTGCCTTTAGACATTCTCTTTGTGAAGAATTTCCTGCAGTGTCTTATATGCATGTGAGGATGATGGTCTTGTCTGTTTCCTAGCAATTACTGCTACATGAAAAAGTCCAGGAAAAGTGCCTTTTTTCATTCCTCTGATGTGTAATATAAAGGTGCTTCTGCCCACGTGGCATAACCTCACTGTGTGCTGGCCTGTAAAACCTTCTATGTTTCAGACCTGGCAGATGTCACCAGCAATGTGTGCTTACTGTACATTTCCACTCCATTAGTGGAAGAACTCTTTAGATAGACCTTTTCTTAGCACCCCCCAAACCACTGAATGTCCACGTTTCCAATCCAAAGGTATAGAAACCCTGACTTGCAGCCAGATACCTTCCTTTTTAATACAGCTTTGCATTGTATGATGCTGTTCTTGTATTCTTTATTCCCAGAAAGTTTGCTCAGGCAAAAGAAACCAGACAATACTCCTCCTCCTAGCTCCCTGCTGGTCATGACAAGTTTGGCTGGTAGATTGACCTGTGACAGATGTCCACACAGTGGTCAACAAGACCAACCACTGTTTTGCTTAATATTCCTGATGTCTTTTTATGCCTAAAAGTCCTCCATAATAATCCGTGTAGTCTTCCTTTATCTAAAATGGCACTGTGGTGTATAAAGAAAAATCTAAAACTTGGGTTAAATGGTGTTTCTCTGATCCTGAAATTACGCTGGCTCTCCTGACTCAGCCTTTGGGATTTGAGGCATTTGTACTGAGGTGTTTTAGATATAATAGCAGCATTTCTCAAAAGATACCAGATCACAAAATCATGTGATGTATATAGAAAGCTGCTGTATCAGGGAGATAGTCACCAGCCTCTGCTACACAAATCTGTATGCAAAACAGATGATAAATTGGCAATGAATGAAAATGCTTTTCAAATTATAGTGCAGCTTCACAGTCTTGTTTGAATATTATAGTTTTACTAGCACTATTTAAGACAATATACTAAGATGCAAATGTCATAAACCCAGATTTTGAGGAATTTCAGAAGTATGTTCAATATTTTTCCCTTTTAAAATATTAAAAGTCTTTTTTTAAAAAATCATTTTTTAATAGGCAGTAATTAGGTAAATAAATCTTCAACCCATTTGTACTAACAGCATTCAGGTTTATTCTATATGATCTTTTTTGGGTCTTGGTGTCTAAAAGGACAGCCTTCCAGAAATTTTTAATAAATTATTTCTGATGCTATTTCAAGCACATATGAAAGATGTACATTTGCATGAGCCCTTTGGAAGATTTTAAAAAGCTGCTGATGTCCACACAACCAGGAGTCAAATAGAAACTTGTTTTGAGGATACAAAATAGTTCTTTCTGTAGGGATCTTGAACTTCCTTTTCATTGCTGTCATGTGTCTATAATATGAACTGGAATTAAAGAACTTATTTCTTAGTATGAAAATCTCTTAAGTTCTCATTGGAGGAACTATTTAGTGTACTATATTAATTTTGTCTTCATCAATACTTATGATGGTATAAACTGTAACATTGTTTTCATTAAATACCAGAGTTTGAACATAAACTTTACTTCAAATACTCCCTATCACAGGATGCTTTTAAATGTATCAGTCCTGTAAGTAAATATGTAGCACTGGAAGCAGAAGGAATTATTTCATAGAATCACGCAGAATCATCAAGAGTTGGAAGTGACCTCTAGGGATCATGTAGTCAAACCCCCATGCTAAGCAGGGTTGCCTAGAGCACATTACATGTGACTGCCTCCAGACAGGTCTTGAATGTCTCCAGAGAAGGGGACTCTCAACCTCCTGGGGCAGCCTATTCCAGTGCCCTGTCACTCTCACAATAAAGAAGTTTTTCCTCCTGTTCAGATGGAACTTCCTGTGTTCCAGTTTGTGCCCATTGCCCCTTGTCCTGTTGCTGGGATCTACTGAAAGAAGTTTGGCTCCATCTTCCTCACACTCTCCCTTTAGATATTTATATATATTAAAAAGGTATAGTCTCAGTCTTCTCTTCAGTCTGCCAGGATAAACAGGGAGATGACTCCCTCCAGCATGTCCCTGTCTCTCTTGCACTGGGGAGCCCAGAATTGAACACAGTATTCCAGATGCGGACTCACTAGGGCAAAATAGAGGGGGAGGATGACCTTCCTCAATCTGCTGGCCACACTCTTCCTTATGCATCCCAGGATACCATTGGCCTTCTTGGCCACAAGGGCACAATGCTGGCTCATTGTTAATTTATTCTCTACTACAACTCCAGAATCTTTCTCCTCAGGGCTGCTTTCTAGCAGGTCAGCCCATAACCTATAATGGTGCATGGGTTATTCAGCCCCAGGTGCAGGACCCTACATTTGCCCTTGTTGAAACCTCATTAAGTTCCTCTCTGTCCAGCTCTCCAGCCTGTCCAGGACATGCTGGACAGCCCTCTGGAGCGTCGGCCACTCCTCCCAGTTTTGTATCATCAGGGAAGTTGCTGAAGATAGACTCTGGCCCCTCAACTAGGTTGCTGATGATTATGTTGAGCAAGACCAGACCCAGTACTGACCCTTGGGGAACTCCACTGGTTACAGGCCTCCACCTTGACCCTGCACCATTGATCACACCCCCCTGAGCTCTGTCATTTAACCAGCTCTCAATCTACCTCACTGTCCACTTACCTCA